ATTTCTGTGCAGTTAAGTGCACAGAAATGAAACACCTGACATCCTCAGTGGTGTTGTACCTTTCTGTCTTACTGGACACAGGCTGGGTAGCCCCGTTTCAGCTGAATATGCCCGATTTTTATGGCAAGATTTCATTGGCTGTCACTGGTGCTATACTTGAACATAAGGTTACAATGCTGCTCCATTACAGTCATTACAGCTCTGACTAATTTCCCTCAAATTACCGAGCCATACACTTTGTCCTCTGCAGCACTGTACCATTGCGTGTAATGTATAGCCCAGTGTGTGAGAATGGGCCTCCTGCTGTGTGGATCTGTCTCGGTCAGCAGAAGGTTTCACGCTCTCCTCTCCCCTTTATTACACAAAGCTACCAAAGTCTGATAACTGCAGAGAAATTCTGTGAACACTGTAAAGTTTCTGAAGATCACCAACTGCAGCATAATAAAATGAGATGAGAACAATAAAGCTTTACTCTTACTGCATTTGTTTAACTAGTTTAATATGTCACTAGTTCTTTGGCTTCATTATAACACACACCACTTTAACACTGAAGTACATATGAATATCTGTCTGATTGATATCATCCTTATTCTAAAAAAGAATATTAAAACAAGATAGTGGCTGTGCAGATTTGTTCCTGCAATTATGACTGATGCCATATCAGAAAAATGTAAATCTACGGAAACTTTGGAATCTTTAGTAGACTTTCAAGTTCTATTTTGCATGTGTGTGTGTGTATATATATATATACACACATAGGCAAATTTTTACCTAGCCAAAGGAGCCTCGTTTTAAGCCACATGAAATGCATTTCCTTTGAAACCTGAGATTTTCTTTATTCTTTGATTACCGTTTTTAAAGTGTGATACACCCAACATCTAGAAAATACTATCTCTTCACCATATATAAAAGTTTTGTTAACCCTTGGGTTCGAAAAGCATCAACAGTTGCTAAATTTATCGTAGAAAGAAACTGTGAAAACAGAAAGAATTGTTGGATTTTCAACTTCCCGGCAGTCCTTGAACTAATCATGTGTGACGTGCCATCCTGACAGGAAACCTTACCAGTTCTCAAAATCACTTTATCTTACACTTCTCATTTAAAAGTTTGCCAAAAATAAACCATTTCCTCTAACTAGTTTCTGTAAAAAAACAGTATTCTGTGCTTCTCTGAGTAACAGAGAAGCAATGAGTGACAAAAATGCACTTTTGGGCTGAACTGGGTTGAACTGCAGGCTGTGCTTGTACAGAGCCAAAACACATCAAGTATTAAAACAAAATAAAAATATACGGGGTATCCAGAGTGTACATAGAGCCATTTTTATTTTCCTACTACTGGTATAACACCTGTGAGCAGCTGAAAATATGCTGTACATGTAGATGCCTTTTTTTTTTAATTAAATTTTTTTTTTTAATTTCTGTGAAACAAATAGCCAAAGAAATTCCACTTTTCTTTTCTTTTCTTTTCTTTTTTATGGCTTATGGCATTGTAAAGGCATTATACTGCACAACAGACATGTCTGAGTTCTTTCAACTTCTAGTCATGATTGTGCTGTTTCCACAGAGATGCAGAACTTTATGTTGGAGTGAAAAATGAGCCCACAATTAGTGAAAATGTGTCCAGAGACTGTTTGGGGTTCAGAAGGTTTATTGTTGTTCTACTTACTGTCTTTAGGTCCTGTATTGTAAAAGTGTCTTGTACTGCATGAGTTTAAGGTGATGGACACATGTTTATCTTTATATAAAATACACCTGCTTTTTATACAGGAAGGTATAAGGGCTCGGACGGCTTGTAAAACTTGGATATGTATGTCTTACCCTTGCTATGTCTGCTTGCCAGATGATAGGCCCTGGATCTGTATTGTATGTGTGTTTGAGTGTAGATGCTGTCCAGGTCCTGTCTCCAGGTGTCTGGGCTTAGGGATTTGAGAAGCTGCTCCACAGTGTCAAAGGCTGCTATGGTTCTGTCTAAATCCTCCAGTGAGAAAGGAACCTCCTCTGTGACTGCCGCCGACATCTTCCCTCCACCACTGTCCTGCAGAGGTCAAAAGGTAAACACAAAATGATCAATTCTACGATGAAATTAAGCCTGCTTTCAATCCAGCAATTCATGATTATTACCTACAACCAAATCATGTGAGCCTTGTAAAACGTTTTTTGGATGGGTGACTTTATGCCTTCCTCCACCGCTATTCGGCACAAAACTATGATATGGTCCCATTTATAGGATTACTGGAGCTTAAGTGGACGAATGACGTCGTCCATCGTCATTACATGTGTTTGGTAGAGAATCCACTGGCTGCGCTGCGTATTTATATCAGGTTTCTGTACAAAATGTGCAATGTGCACAGAGGTTTCTGCAGAGGGAATGTCAGTTTTCTGAACCCTGCAGAATCCTTCACAATGCTCTTGGATTCTTGAAAAAAAAAAAACTTTACAATTCAGTGTTTAGTGTGCAGTTGTGTGGCAGGAAGGTCAGCACTGTTTTGAAAGCCTTGAAAAGACATCTAAGGATTGATGGGAAGATTTGGAGATAGCAGCAGATACTCTCCACACTGCTACCACCCCGTACCACAAACTAAAGGTCACCGGTTCAGTGATACAGTGTCTTCTTCCACACTGCAGCTCTTTTTAAAACTAGCATTTCTTCAAATCTATAGAGCAATTAAGTAATTTTAATGCAAGTAATTGTCAGTTCTGGTTTTATACTGTTGGTAACTTAGACTGTATTGAGAAGTATGATAAAAACACCAAAACAAGTGCATTTACTGTGATTCTAAATACTCTCGATGAACACCTCAGTTATGCAGATTGAACATGTAAATACGCGTCCTTGTCTCCTAAAAATTACACTCCTACACAGCTATGTGGCATATCACAAATACCTTTCAAGTCAACTTATATCTCTATTTATTTATTTTTTTAAATTGCTTTAATGTTGCCTATTTTCAACCAAACATATATTGGATAAGGCAAGACTTGTCATCCTGGTAACCTAGAAAGCGGAGCAGAAGCTTCGAATATACTAAAACACAGTTGTATTTGAACCCAAAACATATTTTTCCTAAGCTACCAAAGTAGTTTTAGTGCCTAAAGCTAACCAAAGTAAGGTTGAAACTTAAATGTGAAAAAAAAAACTCCCACACGGGAGGCAAACCCCTGTCCTGATGTGGACTCATAAATCCACCTCCTAAAAGGCTCTTTCATACTAAAAGCTATTACAAAACAGTTTCACATTTTGTGGAGAAAACGCAATTCTTTCAAAGCATGAACATGAACACGGTTGCTCCACACTAATGTAATTTTTGTGAGACAGGGTTGAAATATGAACGTCGTCTAAAGGAACCACCGTGTGCACTGAGATGAAAATACTCTATAAAGTGCTTCAACACAAATAAATGATGGCATCTCAGTGACAGCAGCCTATAAGTAAACCTCTGTGTGAGATTGACCTTGACTCGAGCTTGAAAAATGCAACAAATCATTACAAGCTGGAAAAACACGACCTTCACTCTGCCTAAAAATTGATACTTGCTATCTTTATCGTGGAGCTCCAACAACATAAATCCATCTAAATGTGTATTAATTCACCACTTATACATATATGTTGTTAATGCCACACTTATGGCAACTTTTGAATGTCACTGCATAATAAATATTACTATCCCTCCTTTATGTACATGTCAACATGCAGGCTGAGTAAGAGATATGGAAAAATAAAGATAGCTACGAAAGCTAAACAAGTAATTTCTCAAATTTATTAATCTTATGTGACATGTTTTTGTTGATGTTATTAGCTCTCCATCACAATAAATACTGGCAGTAAAATGGGGATGCAAAAGCAGACACACATCACGCACATTACTCTTGGATGGCCACCCCTCCCTGCCGTAGGCTATTTCTATAGATAGGAGGTAATTGCCATTAAAGTCTTATGGCATGTATGACTGTTCTAACTTTTACGTTGGCTGCCGTACTCAGCAATAACTTCCATAAAGGTCAAAGGACAAGGGTATGTAATATGAGCATTTCAATAGCTTATGGGGGAGACTTGGATTCATTAAAGCCAACATGGGAATAGAAGCACTCCTCTGAGACATACTAAGTATAAATTAAAAATGGTAATTTAAGTATCACCACATCCTCCTATAAAAATATGACACTGGCCCATATAAAATAAATGATGACCTGACAACTCAACAGATCACTGAAATAATTTTTTTTACGCTCCACGCGTTGTCCCCTGCTATAATTTTTATTTACTTTTCTTTTCATTTGCAGGATTTTAAACGGTTAAAGATCAGCACATGGATGAGAAGCTGAGGTATGAAAAAACAAAAAACTTCACCTTTTAATTAATGTATCACAATATGCATGTGCTCAGTAGTCTGAAACAGCTAGGAACATGAATATAATGTTAAATGACAATAAATCACTGGAAACCCCCCCCGTAGCAGCTTTGAATATAACGTGGAAGAAGGCCACGAGCCACACATGTGCATTCCGCATCCCACTGGCGATGACATAGCCACACATAGGCACGTAAAAACACACACCCACACGCATAAAACTAGTATGAATTCAAGCAGAAAAACTTCCACACATCCCGATGAACACTAATTATTGTGATCACACATGTCAACGAGTTCCATCGCTCTCGTGCACAGACACAGACAAATTATACTGATTACACGTACTTATAAAAACATTAGTCTAAGGAAGCATGTCATTTCACATGTCAGGCTCCATGCATAATAAATACAGTCCATGCATGCATGAATGTATGCTGTGTGGGTGTGTGCTGGCCTATGCAAATGGACCATATGTCATAATTATTAGTGTAGCTCTTGTTTCTAGCGTGCTTACGAAGACAGTTAAGTATGGGGGTGCAGGGTCACAAAGCTGTGATGCTATATGTGGTTATTCATCTGTTTAGGAGTTAGAAAGAAGTATGGCTTGAAAGAACAAAAAATAAGAAAAGTTGTTTAAAACACTGATCTTCGTTTGAAAGAAAATAGCATTCTGTCTTAACCTGACATTTGTTTTTCCGAGCACGAAGCTATTAAATATGCATTTATGTTTCCCTTTCAGTGGTTAATGTGTGACTAAAAAGCATGTCTGGTGATTTGCTTTTAATTTTAGGATTTCAGCAACTCATTAAGTGTGTGTTTGTGTGTGTGTGTGTGTGTGTGCGCGCGCGTGCACATTACTCACCGACATGGGCATAGTGACAGCCTCCCAGTTGGTTTGGGATGCAGGTAAAGAGGAGTCATACTGCAGAAACAGAAATAACCAATCAAATGATCAGCATACAACGTATAAGAAGAACCCTGCAAAGAAAGATTAATAATCATAATTGAGTGACAACAATAGTTTGTGTTCCCTACTAAATTTGATTAGGGCCTTGTTAGTGACAAAAGCAGCTTTATTATAATTCTTTGAGGTTTGTAAAGTAAAATAAAACTGATGCAAAATATCACCAGAGCAAATGAATATATGATTCAGGTAGGACTAAAGGAGCCTTTACCTCGTGAGAAGGGGTTAAAAATCTACACCAGTGGTTCTGGAGGTATGTAATCGGTCCTGTTATGGATGAATCACCTCCTCAAAACTGCACACAGAGGCTACAGAGATATGAAATGTAACTGACCTGCTTAGTCTGGCAAATAAAAAGTCACTAATAACGCATAGCTAAGTTTATACAAAGTCCTTGGTGATGCCCCCCGGGCTGTTATTTCTGGTTGACAAGACCTGGCCCCTATCTAAATAAATAGGCAAAGAGCCATAACTGTAATTTCGATGGTTACTGGGGTCACTAATCATATTTGATAAAAACACTTAGAAAGTTTGGTGACTTTGTCCCATGATAAGCTTTAAAAAGTCTTTATCCCTGCAGGTTATACTTCTGAGTCATATAGCCACCATCATTGGCATTGTAGAATTCTCCCTTAGATTTATATTCTGGATACTTCACAGTCTTTAAGTTGCGAGTCTCTCCCTTATTTGGTTAAAAGTGGATGCTTTTTTTTGTTTAAACACGGTTTTAAAGGAATCTGAGCCCATCCATCCACCCCACCCTCCTCCCTCTATGGGACTTTTACACCATCCATGGCATACACAGAATATGCTGGTTGGTATTAAAGCGTATCAGATCCATGAACTGGACAACTGACCTGAAAACGCTGTTGCTGCGAATTGCACTTTTGAGGTAATGCCACCAAGATGATATTTTTCTTAAAGCTCAGACATGACAGTCATATTGCACATATTTCCACATTTACTCACAGAGTTATTACTACAATTTTCACGCATATCTACCAAAGTGCAGTTACTGTAAGTGACGGCCGAGTTTAAGCACCTGAAACCATATATAAAGGTGAGGAGAAGATCATCATAATGAGACAAGATGGACACTCACACTGCGAAAGGTAAATGCTTCAATCTGTCAGCCCAGTGCTCCAACATTTTTGCTTCTCAAATAGTTGCCCTTAAACACAACTTCCAGGACATGGGGTGGAGCATTCGCATGTTTTCCAAGACATTCAGGTGTCTGCCTGTCTGGCTGATCGACTGTCAGTGTGTCAGCAAAATCCTAAAAGAATTTCCAATGAAGCTGGTCACAGCATGCCTTTGTACAGCGCTCATCCGCCTCACACATTTGGCACAAGTACACACATTCTTTGTCTTTCTGTCTCTTTCACTCGCACACACACGTGCACACACACACACACACACACACATGCACACTGTCTCTAGGATCACCCTCTTTATACTCACACACATAAACTCTCACCGGCTATCGAATCCCTCTCCTTGAAGAGTCTTAAATACCATCTCCAGTCAATGTGGAACAGTAAATCTGTCTCAACTGCACTTCAAAGACACAGTGCCCTTACTTTGTCTTGGTGCGTCTGTGTGTGTGTGTGTGGTGTGTGTGTGTGTGTGTGTGTGTCTGTGAATGTAATAGAGGTGACTTCAAAGCCAGTCGGTGTGCAAAGGGTTTCGTTTAACAGATTCTCGCATGTGGCCTTTGGATAAACGTACTCATACACATAAATGCAGACCCGAAGCAGCTGTGAATGAGGTCAGAAGGTTTCCTGTAAGAGCATGTGTGTGTGTGTGTGTGTGTGTGTGTGTTACTCATGTTGTGGGGACATAGCTATTTCAATTTTAGGATGAATACGTGGTTTAAGTATAAGGTAAGAATTGTAAGTTAAGATTGGGTTTGTGTGTGTGTGTGTGTGTGTGTGTGAGTAAATGCATGTTTACACACTCCGAGTCTCATTTCCTTTTAAGATGAAATACTTCGTGTCAAGAACATCTGGAGCGCTTAACAGGGTTGAAAAAAGACGCAGGACATGACCAGGGATTATTGCTTTTATAAAATGTTTTCTTGTTTGATGTAAATTTGATACACAAATGCACATATTTGCTGAAATTATGACTCATTTGGAATGAATTCAACCTTAATGAAGTTTTATGTTTCAAACTATTCAAAAATGAAGGTTACTTTTCTATCTGAGTTGCTATTTTAAGTCTGCTGCATTTGATGTTTACGCTGACTTTCCTGCAGCTCAAAAAGAGTGAAGGGACTTTCAGACTGAATGCGACAATGGTGCTGCTGCCCTTTGGAAACCTTTATTTCCAATGGCTTGTGCAGCGCCACAATGGCTTATTTCTGCATCGAGTGAAGCACAGTGTGCCGCCCGGTGAGCTCCCCAAGCGCACTGCGGTCAAAGTTCAGATTAGTTGAACTTTTACTGCTGAGCACTGTGATGAATACCTTGAATACCTGCGCAGCCATTAGAAAGGAGACATCAAGTGGGCTCAGAAGGCAAAACGAAGGAAATGCTGATGTGTGTGTCTGCAGAACCTTAACTGTCTGAAACCCGCAACTCACCAGCAGGCTAAAATGGCATGTTATCTAAAATAACCACCATAAACACAGCATTTATCCAAGCCAGAACCTGTAAAAACAGAAAGGATTGTCTGACTTTTAACTTTCTGAAGCTCTGTGATCTAATAATGTGTGACAAGAGTTCCTGTGGGTTGCACAGTGGCTCGGTAGTTAGCACTGACGCCTCACAGCTAGAACATCCCCGGTTTGCATCCCGCTTAGGGAACCTGGGATCTTTCTGTGTGGAGTTTGCATGTTCTCCCTGTGCAGTGTGGGTTCTCTCTGGGTTTTCCAGCTTCCTCCCACAGTACAAAAAAAACATGCTGAGGTTAGTTGGTGATTCTAAATTGTCCATAGGTGTAACTGTTAGTGTGCTTGGTTGTCTCTTTGTAGGCCTGCGATAGACTGGCAACTTGTCCAGGGTGTCCCCTGCCTTCGCCCTGAGTCAGCTGGGATAGGCTCCAGCCCCCCCGGGACCCTAGTGAGGATTAAGCGGTGTGTAGATAATAGATGGATGGATGGATAAATAAATTCTTCATTTATCAGTTCAACTGAGAAACCATCCTGAATCAGCTGTGACCAACAGTCACATGACAACAATGTAGGGACTTTTCATCTGAACTGGACTGAACTGCAGGCTGTGTCAACAAGTCATGCTGCTATGTGTTTGTTTTTCTGGTGTCAAAATGAGTTCAACAGGTTAAAAAAACGGACCGAAACTTTTTTAACTGCATTTTTTAGTTTTTAGTGTTAGTGTAAATATATGGTAAATGACCACCAAATGATCACATAACAAATTACTTCCAGCTGATAATCTTTTGAAGTCTTGCTTAAATGACATCTTCTATCACTAAATTATGGGGTTTATCTGCTTTGCTTTCACACTACAAACATATGGCTATTCAATTTTTCAAGTGGTCTCAGTTGGGCTGTTTAGTCCCCAACTTTGATATGTGTGATGACATCCCAAGTAATAATCTGCAGAGCAATTGGTGAAAGGTTTGTTATAAACAGCAGTACGTATGCAGTGTCTCTACAGTTTGGATTTTGTGAAGTGTCACAATAAAGAAACGGCGTTGGATGTAGTTAAAATTCTATGTACATGTAAATAAAGCAAAAAAGGAAAATCTGCAGAAATCTGAAACTCCAGCTTGGAATATAAAAAGAAGGGATCTATTTATGTAAACATGCTAAAACAAGCTCATTTTGTGGATACATTGTTTTCGAATTGTGTAATTTACAAATCACCGTTTGGGATAGAAGCAAAGTGCAATATTTGAAGCAATACTGCCGTATACGCCAGTGGTGAGGGAATATGTCCTTATTTACAATAGAAGTCTAGTGGAGGCGACATCAGGGAGCTGCCCTTTTCAACCTCCATTTTGTACAGTTGGACACTGGAGCAGCTGAGGATTAAGTGTGTGGTGGATGCTGAGGAAGGCGAGAGCATTTCCCTCTCGACTTTTACCCCCCACAAGCAGTTGTCTTGCCTACAGCCAGAGGACACCTAACTTAGGAAATAAATCACACTGACCACATTTATGCTGTCTCATCTATGTCTGAGTCTGAGCTAATTTTCAGGTTAGAGCCCTGAAAATACCTCTTGTCATGGTGCACTGAGGCTTTTCTTGTAGTTTACTGTGAGACTTCTGCGCTGAGTCTGGAGTATATTTACTTAAACACATCAGTTTTGATAGTTTCTCTCAGTGATTGACTTTTAAGTCTGTGTAAAGAAAAAATCTGAGATTTGTTTTTTAGCATTGTTATCCATGTCAGAAAATAATTGCTGAAACGTGATATGACTGTGAACTATGTTGTACTGAATTGTGGAGCTGACCTTCCAACTGTTTGTCATCATCTTTCTGTTCAGGAGTTTTTGCGAAGGAGGTGTCAGGTCAGAAATCATGGCCTAATGACACACTGGAGTCCTATTTGTCATGATTCCTTCCCCTTACATTGCCCAGCGTCATAAAAGCTATAGTGCTTTAGCATCAGTGGTTCTCCCGCTCATTGGCAAGGTTCTTCATCTGCTACAGCCCACTGTTTGGTTGCCAGCTATGCAAATGCATCTTTCCTGGATGCCAGAATTCACAAAACAGCTCAATCTGTGGTTCTAAGTTTGCTAAGAATGATAAGACGAGGACATAAACTTTGACTCACTCTGATAAAGAGTCGAGGATCACGAACAACCGCGAACATTTTATGCAGGGTAGTTTTACAAACTTTCATCATATTCAATTTCAGTTCTTCTTCTCCAGCCTCCACCCTCCCGTCCAGCCAACCTCATCTGCTGTGCATTGTGTCCTTTGTGTGCCTTGTTTATTATAGTTGGTAGCTCAGTGTGCAGCTGCAAAATGACAAAAATATTACATGTCTCTAACTTGCCTATTTGATTTCTAACCTAGATCAGTGAAAACAAACTCAGGTTTGTTAGCCTGGCTTGTACAGTTCATTTGGGCTGGTGTGAAAGCTGTTGATCAGCGCCATCAATCACCAATCAGCGTTTCAGACCAGAAAAATAGTGTTTATATTCCGACAACTTCAAATCTAATTTTATATACTTGGTGTTGTTTTATTCATACAGATTTGTCTGGATGGCTAATAACACTTTTCTACTGTGTGACATAATCAGAACACACATGTAATTCTGCTTTACAAAGACTTAGAAACAGTAGTGAAGTTTTTGTTTTAGTTATTGTAAAATCTGAAGTTTTTCCCATTGATTTTACTACACATGGGTTCAGTCATTAAATGGCAGGAATTGTATATCTTTACTGTAGTTTCCGCTGCAGTAACAACAGAAATTCGCTTATTGAAAATACAAGAAGAAACAGGTACTTGGTAGGACAGAACCAACACTACGAGAATGTCACAAAAACAAAAAATAATGAAGAATAATTTAAATAATTCAGCAAATTATGGTATATTTTAACTTCATCCAGGATCATATTCTGTATGTGGGGTACATACTTTGAATAAAGAGATTCTAACTTGATCATATTTACTGCCCCCGGATTAGCAGCAAAACACCTCACTCTTGCTTGTAGATCTCAGATAATAAAATCAACACCAGAAAAAAAGATACATAAAGAAAAAACAAACCAAAAATAAAGCTCCATAATGTTCTGAAGTCCTAAAAGATAAACTTAGAGCTGCTTCTGCTCACAGTAAATATAATGAGGCAGATTTGAGCACTCACATTTCCTTTTTTGAGCTTTTAAAATAGCTTAAAATGTTTATCTTACGCAATCAAACGCACTCATTACTTCATGTAAGCCTGCGCTGCAGCTGACGAATCGCACCGGCTGAAAACAAGATTTGAAAAGGATCAAAGAACAACAATTTTGGGGGAAAACAGTGACATGAATAATGAGTAAGGACTCCGTCTGACTGCAGTGTTGCCTACAGTGCTTTTTAAAAAAAATAAAAAAATATATTTTTGGAGTGTAGAGCAGCAGTTGTGTTCAGACATAAAGGTCACTTCAGGTGACAGTCTGAAACCGATCCAAACACAACGTGCATAAATACATTTTTTAAAAAGGTATCCAATCTAAAAGAGACCAAGGATAATGAGACCTCATCTGAAACTTGGTTGACCCCACCAGACCAAATTCACTGATGTCATTTCAAATGTCTCGTTCGTGCAAGAAGCCCATGTGGATTTTATGACACTTTCATTTACATTTCGCCATAAACATATTGTATGCATCTGCATCAGGCAGATCTGATTGCAAGACCTCTTGATTTTCCAGAGTTACATGCAAATCAGCGTTAAGCCCCACTCCAGCCAAGAGGGTGAAATTTACCTCGGATTCATGCCTGCACTCAAACTACTGTCTTATCGTCACTGATCATGCAGTGGTTGAAATATTTAAGGTTCAGAAAAATTGCTGCAGCAGTACGACCCTCCTCTAGTTAAGAAGCAGCCATATGGGTTTGTTATGAGCAGCAATACATGTCACATTTTCTGCACGAGGTTCTGGATTTCCACTTTTTTTTCCCAGTTTCTCCACTTTCGTTTTTCTTAGTGGATTATTGTAACACACATGGAGCTAGATCCACTTTACTACTAGATCTATAAACCCAAGACAAGTGGCAATAGAACAATACCCAGCACTACATATAATATGGATCTAGCTGGAGTCAAGCTTTGACTACAGAAGCCATTTCAGGGGCTTTTTATTTTTTTTTTTCAATTGTTCAACTCACAGAGACAGATATATTTCTAGTCATACCCTCTGAATCCTAAGCAGCTTCTGGCCATATTTTCTCCTTTAACGTTCTTACTCACTGTGGTATCATTTCTCACTGCAATATAGAGTGGAGAGAACTAAAAACAAAATAATTTTTAAAAAAGAGGGAAAAAAAGGACTTTTTTGAAAAATCATAGATTCAGTACATTTTCCCAACAAACAGATATTTTACTACTTATTTTTTAAAATTTGTTTCTGTACTTCTGTCATGCCACTGTTGGTCACAGCTGAGTAACTAATGGCTTCTCAAGTTCACCGGGAAATGTAGAATTTCTTTTTTTTTTTTTGCAGAGTCTAGTTAGTGCTTGTTTTATTTCCTTTTTTTTAATAGAAAATGTTTAAATGAGATGTGTAGAATTAAGTTATTGGATGAAATATGATTTTAAGCTTGATTAATTTTCACAACAAAACTAAAAGTCACACATGATTAGTTCAAGGGCCGTCGGAAAGTCCAAAATCTGCTCATTTTTCTTGTTTTACAGCATCTGGCTCTAATTATTGTTCCTAAAGATGAAACGCCTTTAAAACCCACCGGCAGGCTTTGGGGTTCAGAGGGTTATTCAATACAACTATCTACTTGTGTCTTACTTGTACTTCTTGAGTTTTATAAATGTAATGATCATATATTGCGCTCTGAGGTCTACCAAACTGCAGGTGACAACTCAATACTGAGTCTGAACGCCTCCTGTGTAGACAACACATGGACACGCTGCTGTTGCTCTGCTAACATGCTGCCGTCTATGTCGACATGGTGTTCATATATCAGAAACACAGAGAACCTGTGAAGACTTATAGCATGGCAGGGGTTTAATGGTAAACCTGTGTTTTGTTTCGGTCCCTATTATCTGTTTTTTCCTTATATGACTCCACTCTGCCTCTCCTCTCTCTTGCACTGACTTTGTTTTGTTTTCCCATATGGTTTTTCTTTTATCTTGTCCACCTCAGTCCACTCCATATTGCTCACTACCTCTCAAATGCCTCGCTACCCCTCTGTCTCTCTCTCTCTTTGTCTCCCTCAGTTCAGGTTGTTTTAGTCATTAGCTGACATGCTGATACCATCTCAGACACCTGTTCTCTCCTTCCAATGCCGCTTCGCCTCGTCCTCTCCCTGCTTCCTCTCCCCAGTCTCCCTCTTCTTCCTCTCCTCTCTCTGCCTCCTCTCCTCCTCCCTCTTATCTGTTCGACAGGTCTGGAGAGAACAAATTAGACCTGCTAAATTAAGCCACACACAGAGCTCCAGTCTAGCTGGAGGGAAACTGTGTGTGTGTGTTTGTGAACGATGGGAAGACACAAACACACACTCGAACACGGGCTCTCTTTGAAAAATGGGTAAAAACTGATCAAATGAGATAGGCCTCAAGAGGTGGATTCTGTTTTAAATGTACAGAGGTGTGATTATTTGACCAGAGGAGAAATAACAAAGGCTGAGGAGGGAGGAACGACAGGGGAAAGCAACGAGAGTCTGAGAGGGTGAGATAAGAAAGTTGTTTGTGGTTTATGCAGCGGCAGAAAGTACATTTAGGCAAATACTCTATTATGAGGTGCTTTTACTTTTTGGACATTATGTTCGGTTGAACGTGGTGACACTGCTGTGGGCTCATTTAGCTCAAACGTACACTTTATGGCTGTGAAATTTCCGTGAGTCCAAAATGCACAAACTGTACATGTCAAATTTATTAAAGGTAATAAAAAAAAATGATTCTATTAAAGTGACGGATCATCAGCAAATATAGGGTGTCTCTTTCTCTCTCTCTCCGTCCTTTTCAGCCTTCATCCCATATGTGCTTAAACCATTTTTTTCCTCTTTTTTTTCTGAGATAATTAGCAGTGCCACCAGTTCAAAACTGTCTGTGATGCTGGGTCTCGTCCTCATAAAAGAGGAAGCCCAGGAACATCTTTAAATGCCTCTCTGTCCCTCTGCTCCTTTTCTGATTATAGGGTGGGGGAGAACATCTTCAAATCTGAGTCCCTCTTTTCGCTCTTTCTTCTTTCTGACAGAATGACAAAGCTAATCTCCTTATCCATTCGTTTGACAGCCTTGAAGAGACACACTTTTCCATCCTTCCTCCCTACCTCCACTCTATTGTCGACTGGACGTGTGAGAAGAGAACGGTCGGCTAATACATTTTGGCCTTTTCCTGCCAGTGTTACTAGATCCTCCCTCACTCTCTTCCTCTTTCCTCTACTCCCTATTTATCTCCCCCGTCATCTTATACCTTTTATTTATTGTCGAGTGCAGGTAAAACAGTAAAAGAAGCATTTTTACCCGCAGCATTGCAGTGGTACTCAAGCTGAACCCGATGTGATAAAAATATAATAAAAAAAAAAAAAACACAACTTTAAGCTGCGTCTCAAATAACAGCCCGCAATTCATCGTCAGCCGTGTGTGGAGGAGTGTAAGTGTACGTTTCTCACCAGCAGGGAGTAGTAGACTTTGAATCCTGGCTTTGCAACAAAGTAATCATCAGACTTGAAGGTGACTCTGAGTGTGTTGGTTTTGGAGTTGAGACTAGGTGGTGCCTTCTGCCCACACCAGCGACCCCAAATTATAGTGCTGGTCTCTGATTGGTCCTCCACTTCAACAAAGTCATACCTGGAGTGTGAGAGCGAGAGAAAGATGGAGAAGTAGATGATATGTGGGAGGAAAGAGAAAGTTGGAGGATAAAAATTGAACCTTGTCAAGAAAGCGCAAAACGGGAAGCTGACAAAAAAAAAATCATAAATGGATGAATGTGTTTGTGAGTCCATCCTCATGGATGAATGGATGGATAGAAGCTAATTCAAGAAAACCATTAGTTAAATAAGGTGTTATTGTTGCTCTCTTTCATTAGGATTACCATAAACTTGTCAGGTTCACTGATGAGGCCTGAGAATATCGTAACATAGAAGGCAGATAACATCAAACATCCATCACAGTTCTGACTTTCACATATGTACTTCATGTTCTGCAGTTTTCCTGTGCACTGAAGAATTATTAGTCGTTTCAAAAATGTTCCACAAATAAACTGCTTCACTGATCTGGCAAAATCTTGGCTCAGTTGCAAACTATCGTCCTTTTTGAATGCTTGTATTTCTTGCTGTGCAAGACTAGATCTGAGCATACAGTGTTATTATGACTTATAGGAAATATGGCAAAAGTTACAGAAGAAAAAAAAGACCAAGAATCTATTGTCATGCTCGTGGCTCTGTGAATTAAATATTCAGGTTTGCTGATGAATGCTAATGCTACTATGGAAACATGCTTACAACACCATTCTAACATGCTTATATAACTTCAAATTCATTAAGTTCATCATCTTCATCTAGCATGTTTGTTTGCTGTCATATGCTAAATACCTCGACGCACCTGAGGCCGATGGGCATGTCATTTGTTTTGTAAGACTTTGGGTATAAGCTATTGTGGAAAAAACATGCAACATTTTGACCTAATAATGGGGCAAACAAAAAGTCAGTGGACCACTAGTTTGACTCAATGGATGCAGACTTTGGGTATAAGGCTGCCTTTTCTGGTGCACATTCTCCTCCCTTTTCGCTATCTGCGAGTTACTGTTTTCAAAATCCCAACAACACCAAAGAAACAACAGCCACCTCGAGCAACAATTTACAAACTGAAAACGTCACGTTTTGCTAAGGATGGTGCAAAGAGGCAGTCCTTCTTCATCCTTTTGGTCATTTTATTGACAGTTCTCGTCCCCCTGATTGCAAATGTCCAATCAAACCAACTTCCCCATCGCTATTTCGTACGGGCATTGTAACTGTATTGTGGGCTTAATTGTGCCCAAGACTGACTAACCAAATTGTGATTGGTTTAAAGAAATATAAACAAGTCAGAATGTTTTTTTCCCCCATTACAACAGAATAATAATGAGTTGCAGTCACCCACTCTACAGCAGTAAAACAACACTAACGCGCTGCTCAGGACATTAGGACACCTGGTTGAGAAACAAAGAATTTCTGTGCCAAAATTTGTGCCAATCTGTCAATTAGATAGAGTGAAATGATGGTAATAAAGATTTATAAAAACTGTCATTTTCCTGTAACGAGATGGAGAACATTTGGTCATAGTTTTAGGATCTTGAGATACTTGTAGCAATCAGATCAATGACGAGACAAATTTATGTGTTCTCAAGCCAGTAGCGCATCCTGCTAAAGTACTTGGCATGAAGAATTTTTGAAGAAGTTTTTAATGACAACTTCCCAGCAATTGACGCCTCAGTCAAATATTAAACACGCACACATTTTTATATATATACACACACACACACATAGAGTTAATGTGACAAACAAGATTTTAAAAACTGGGCAAAGCTCCTTTCTCCTTCTTCCTACCTTTCCAAATCACTCCTCCCCCTCTTCTCCCCCCTGCTGGTCCCCCTTGTCTTTTCAGCAAAGTGCTTACAAAGACGGCTGAGTTGCATATGGGGATTAAAAAGTCTATTTTCTCCCCTCGTTCCTCAAGGACAAACTTCTTATACTTCTTGCCAAGAAAGCAAACTTCAACTATCCATCTCTCTCATAGTGATTCCACCACCTCGCACCTTTTTATGTTCTTTTCTCTTATGTCTCTTCAATCACAGTTTATTATTGCTGTGCTAATGTACAAGTCATTTTCACATATTTTATTGTCGCTGCTTTTCTTTCAGCTTGAGACTTTTACACAATAAACTTTTCCCAGGCCTCCCGTCACACCAAACCATCCTCTCCATCAATTCATCTCACTGGTCTCTCTGGTTCTTTAATCACCGCTACTTTCATCTGACTTTTCTCTTTTACAGCTGTTGTAATTCATCACTGCTCCCTCCTCTTTGTGTTCAGCATCTCAGTCCTTCGTTTCTCTATTCAAGTTGTCTTTCCCCTTTTGTCATTTTTATCGAAAGGCACTTCATGTCATTCTCTCTTTACTTCTCTACATGTTCTGCTCTAATCCACTTCTGTATTCCATCCCTCCGATCTCGATCATTTTTTTTTCTCCCTCTGTTTCATGTTTTACCTGCACACTCCACTCTCAGCCTCCTCCAGGCCGAAGTGTCCGTCAAACTCCAGGTGTATGCGGCTCCCCGGTGGTGACAGCAGTTTCCATGACAACAGCAGGTTGCGTGGGTAAGCGTTGGGGTAGCGTGGGCTGTGGATGGCTCCGCCCACCGGTGTTACCGTGATGTTTTCCTCTTTGCGGTACAAGTCTGTGGTGAGGCGATTGCTGTCTGTTAGTGGTTACAACTGATCAGTTAGTTCGTCCTGTTGCAGATTAAAAACGAGCAGAGCAGCTTTTACACAGAGGCATGCACACCAATGGCAAATCCAGAGGAAAAAATGTTTTCTATGGATGTCGGCACAGATAAACAAGCACAAACCAGAAGCACAAATCAAGGAGAGACAAACAATTGAAATACAAATGTGACATTTTAGTTGTGACTTGACCTCAGAAAATACAGATAACTTAAATGCATGAACGCATAAGATGAGCACTTTAAAAATGTATTGTTTGGATGGATTTTGGGGTTTTGTGTTTGTGTTTGTGCAAAAATGCAAACACATCGTGGCATTTCACAGTTCAAAACTTCTCAGTACTGTCTGCTGGACAAACTATTTATTAGGGGCAATGTTTCTAAATAATTTCAAACCAAATTGGGCATTCCCATATTGCAATTTATCATTATTAATGGAGCATATACACACTGGTACCGTATTTTTCTGTAATGTCAACCAATATATTTGTCAACCTAATATTAAACCAAGTTAATGCAAAATATGCATATCTTGGTCAGTAGTATGAAAAGAAAAATCTACAGCACAGAATAACTGAGAAAAGAGTCATACAGCTCCTCTTTATAGTGATTCCACAAAGCACAGAGAATCGTGAAAAGGTCCCGTTTTGAAGAATCATTGTTTGTGTTTCTATTGAGCATTTATTAACATGTTCATGCCTCTTTCGTTGTTTTGTAAGTCTGATGTTTCACACCCATTAAATTTCAGTCCAAGTAGAACTTTTAGTCAAATCACTCTAGACAAAAGGTCAAGGGGTCAACAACATTATTTAAAGACATTCTTTATAAATATCGGCTGTAAATTTGAGAAGAAAACTGGCAACTAATCAAAATCATCTGGAATAATTCTAAGCATCTAAGTTCTGAAGCAGGTTTTCAAGCAGAACAAACAACAGACATTGCTAACAGTGATCTGGACTAAACACAAAAACACATGCAAACACACACACAGACAAATTCACTCCATTTTCAAAGACAGATATTGGCAATAAGATCACGTCTACCTGCAGCTGTACTTACCCAGGTACCCAACATATTTACAAAGACAAAAGAAACAATATAATATGGAAACTATTAGTTATAATTAGTGTGCATGTGTCACCGTGAACGCAACCTGTTGTGATCACTCCTGCTTGTTTTTCCAATCAATAAAGTATTTCTGATTCTTATTCTGAAACTAGCCTCTATCACAAGATCTGCTCTATAAACTATACTAGTACTTTGTAAAGGTGTGTTTAAAGTATAATAAAGGCTCATCAGTACTATTGAAGATCACTAAATATTTAGCCCTGACAAATCAATACAACAAAAAAAAAATCTAAATTGGATATTGCACAACAAAACTTATTTTCCGTCTCCACTGTATTTGCTGACTTCCCAAAATTTAGCCAAAATGCCCCTGCAGAGACACAAACACACACACACACACACACACATATAGACACACACATATAGACACACTCAGAAGGTCAGGTAATGTGCTGAAGCTGGCTGACAGGGCTGTATTTTCTGAGTGGTGTGTGTTTTTTGCAAGAGAATGCATAATCAAGGCACCACAGTCCTGCACCCCTGGGAGATGATGATGAAGCTCTGGCCTTCTCCTCCACCTCTTTACTGCAAACTTCTCTTAATTCCTCTTCCCGCTTCATCCCATCATCCCCTCGCTCCTCCTCCTCCTCTGTGATCGTCTTCTGCGCAGTCAGTAGCTCTGTCTCATTGGTCATTCTGCTCTGCTGCTGCAGTCACACCTTCTGCTAATTCTGGCAACAGCAATTAACACTGTACCTCAGTGTGTGTTTACGTGCATTAATGATTGGGGCACAGCGTGCACTTTCAGTTTGGACTGTTCGTGCTTCTGCGAGTGTGTGTACATACGTGTGTGTTGTGTTGGAGCAGAATTTGTTTGTACTGGAATTCTTCCACTCTGCTGATCAGAGGCCTGACTGTGTGGGTCCACTCAGTCATAAAAGTGCTTATGTGTCAGGAACTTTCACCCACTAATGTCTCTGGGGAACAGCGCTCTAAGTGTGTGTCTGTCAGCGTTGTACATAAGGTAATTTGTGTTAATGCGCAAGGGACTGTTATATTTTTGTATGCATTCTAATAATGTGATAGTATACATAATTCATGTCAAGCAAACAATGCATTTGTGTGCTTCTTAGCAGCTATATTACAGCATACAGAAGCAAATCCACCTTAACCCCACTTTTTAAAGCATCAGTAAAGTGTCTGCAGTCAGCTCTATCAAGGAACAGATGGGTTAGGGTTAGAAGTTTGAACTCACTGTTTCTGGCCACAGAATTGCTCAGCACATAATCCTTTTAAAACTATAATTTGCTATTTTGACATTTTTGTGTGCATATCCTGTAAAATGAATTCAACATGAAAGTGTTCATCCATGCACACAGGTATGAGTGTGTCTGTGTGAGCTTTCAGAAGAAAGAAGACACTAATAGTAGAAAATATGCAATACACTTGAGTAGCACCCGGCTCTTTTGGATGCTCTTACACAGTTGCGCCATTGACCTTAATATAAATCATGCAGTGATGTCAGTGACACCATTGCAAATTAATGCAAATGAAACAATGACTGGGAAAGGAGTTTCTGTTAAAGATCTAGTGCAGAAAATTGACACTGCTAGAAAGTGACATTTTGTCAGTCTGTTAAGGATATGATTTTGGGAACAAGGCTCATGTGGCATAAGGCTTAAGGACAATCCTGAAGAAACCAACAGATATATCTGGGGGCACAGTGGGATATGCAGTGCAGTCTGGAAGTAATAGGACAGTGACACATTTTTGTTAAGCTCCGTACTACAGCGCATAGCAACTGAAATCAAGACTATACTGTCTTGTAGCTTTAACTAAGCAGTTCCTGTCACATTTTAGTCACTGTGGGGTAATTTTTCACTGCAATATAAAGTCCTGCACCTCTACGTAAACAGTGTAACCATGACTAGAATTAAAAAGAACTCAAACATGTCTTTTGTGCAGCACGACATGACTATATTATCATAAATATATATTTTAAGAAAATACATTTTAAATATTTGTTGTATAAAAATGTAGAAAAAAATAATAATGAAAAAAAAAGGAATCAAGATGTACACCATTTTTCAATCTGTCTGCAGATGTTACCAATACTGGAACAAAAACGGTGACTGTACATGCTTTAGATATTTAACTACCTACATTCTGAAATGGTTTCCATACTTTACTCTGCTCTGTGTAAACACTGCCTGCAGTTCAGCCCAGTAAGGTCATAAAGTCTCATGTTGGTGGCCACTGAGTCATTCATTCATTCATTCATTCATTCATTCATTCATTTTATCCATTTAAAATGAGACATGTGGATTATAATGTTGTATAATGTTGATGAATTATCACAGCTTTAAACTCAGATTTAGTAAGTTGTCCAGACGGACATTCAAGTTGCATAGAATTAAGTCAACTATTGCCGGAATGTAGAAACAGCAACAATTTTGGCTCTGATAAATGATGAAATTTAGTTTATTTTTTTAAAAATATAACGTGCCTGTCAAACCAGCCAGCAAGTTTTGATATTCAGTGGATTAACAGTTTTTGAGGGTTGTATAATATTATTAAATAGTTGTAACAATTATCGAGTTCATTAAGTTTAAAAATAACTCAACATAGGCTGATACATATGTATTTATTAGAACACATTGTTTCAGGTGAGAGTGATTAAAAATTACAGTTTTTAAATGACAGAGAAGGACAGAGATTGCATTCGCACGAGCAGTTGTGCCAATAACGTAGAACAAACAGCCCCAGACTTCTCTTATCGTGGATAAATAATAGGTCTACTGTTTCTAAATGTGCTGAAACTCATGTTAGTCTTTGCGTTTTATCAACCTTCGCTACAGTTCTATCACTTTTTTTTCACCCATTTGCAAAGTAGGATCATAGCACATGTAGCTTTCTAATGGTTCTTATCAAAGCCTCAAAACTTGAGAATCAGTGTCATTAAAATACACGCCTGCTCTAAACCAGTTGTACAACATTTATCGCTTCAAAACTTGACGGAAAGTTAATGTTCCGCAATCTCAGGAAATATGATATTGTGCTGATAATATCACCGACTGTCTGACTCACATCCTGCATTTAAACACTTCCTCTCTCTCACACACACACATATTCAATGTCTGACTCTGGCAATTAAGCTTTCAGACTCTTGATCTGAGGCTTAAATAACTGCGACAATAATGCTGCGTGACTGTGTGGTGAGTTTATGCGTCTGGGGCAGATGAAAGTGCGTTTGTGAATGTGACAGGTTTAATGAAGAAAAGAAAGTTCTCGGCTATATGTGTGTGTTAGCATGCATGCATGTCTGCGAGGGTGTGTGTGGGTAAATTCTCACTAATTAAACTTGGCTCTCCCACCTCCAGTGCCAGAGTGTGATGTTCTTCATGACTCTGAGATCTATTTCTGATCCAAGTGCCAATCAGAGTCTAATCACCCACCAACATGGTGCACCGGCAACGGAAAAATAGCTCCGTTGAGAATGTACTGAAGTCACAAGGAAAGAACTAACAATGAAGACGAGATATTAAACTTCACATTCCTCTCTTAATTAAAAGCTGATTTTGGTGAGGTGTGCAAACAGTTGCCTAATATTAAACTTTTTCAATCCACGTCTCTATTCTGTGCAAACTCTATTTTTCTTGAGTGACAGTTTGCATATGATACCTTCCCACTCAGAGACATACTCCCACAGGACATTATAACAAGGCGACCCCATTTCCTACATCTGCCATCCCCTGTCTGACATATCCTGTCTGACTTTCATCTTCTCAAAATGAATTCTCATAAGCCACAACACTAGCTAACAGGACACACATAATACATTCGCTTTCAGCTGTGAAAAACTCCTTGGAGAAATGCAATGTGGCTGTTCGCATTCTTGGTGCCATTCC